GGCACCTCTACAAACTCACATTGCGGCGGAACATGGCGAAAATGCCAGAGTTCTGAAAGATGCTCAGGGTCCAGTCCTGCTCCTCCTAGATGGGATCCCCTGAGAAGGCCGCTGTAATTGGCGAATCGACGCAAGACAGTCCGTGAGATTCTTTGGGAAGAGGGATATAACTAGAGGGTCATGGCAACAAGGGATTGAAGCAGTCTAAGATCCGACGCGTGCAGGAGGCCAAAAGGTACCACCCGGTGGGACAGCTGTAAAGCACACGAGCTCCTTCCCGGAGCAATTTCTGGCGAGTATCACTACGCTGGATATCTCTGTACAAGACGGGTGTTGATGGTCGTGGTTGTGATTGTGGATTGGATTTGGAAGCCGTTGCTGTGTGAATTTGATGCCAGGTCTTGCATATTGACCCAAATTCTATGGCGTGGACTAGATGGAGGTTTTCGTAGATCAATTCTAACAGATCTGGACACAAATCGCCCCACGCTCGCACCCCTGCTCTTCCTATCGCAATCCTCCTCGTCTTTCAGACCAACTTCAATTTCTCCCCCTTTTACCGATTACCCTGTTTACAAGCATCTAGGGTTACATAAGGAGCTATCTCCTTATTTGGTACGTAAACCATGCAAGAGAAGGAAACCGCAAGTGATGGGCTTAGCCGGCTCTGTCTCTCTTGGCCGCTCTCTGTTCATGAGTTCTGGCTGGGCCAACCTGTCCAACAAGAGATTCAAACGAAAATCCTTCAATAGACTGCGGCTGGCCGGCGGCGGCAACGAGGGAATTTTGCGCTTTCGGACGGACAAATGGAGAGCTGAGGAGGGCAACACAATGGGTGTTGTATTAGATCCGAAGGGGGTAGGGATGACAATGGGTCGGGTTTTTTCAAATCCAAATTCAAACCCATGAGTTTATCCGTCAAAAAAATTTGAGGTAAAATCCAATCAGTTTGGAAAACTCAAACCCAACCCAACCCGCTGGGTATCCGCGGGTTCATGGGTACCCATGGGTTTTTGTGGTAAAATATTTACAATAACAAGTTCCTGTCAAAATAAAAGTCAAACATCAATTTCTCCATACAAATTATCCATACATAAAAACACCAGTCTAGAAAATTTAAACAAATCACTAATTATCCATACAAATTGTAAATTAGATTGGAGGAAATTTGAATTAGGTTAGAGTTTGGAGAGAGTAGGCTACGGAATAAGTGTGGGGGATAACCCAAACTCAACCCAACTCAATAAAAGTGTAACGGATTTAAACCCTAACTCAGATCTAAACCCGTCAAAACGAGTTTTACCCCACATTGACCGAATTGGGTCGGATAGGATACCCATAAGTTCGGGTTTTGTTGTCATCCCGGTAAAGAAAATCCAAGGTCCGGATTGAAGTTGAAACCAAGAGCAAATGAGGGGAGCTTCGCCGAGCTGCAAGAAGTTCATTAGATGACTGGATGAGTGGGCCTCAGTCCGCCTTATTCCTGGGCTAAACAATAGGTCCAGGTCTGCAAAAAAGGAATGGGCCTAACCGTAACCCAATCCCAAACCGACGCACCTTATTGATAGCGGACTCTCAGTTGCCGGATCCGGATCCGATCAAATTCAGTATCCGAATCACCGTCACTGACCTGCCCGTTTGAGCTGAAAATCAAATTTCATCAGCGCTTCAACTCCACTTCCGTCAATTAGGGTTTATTCGCTCGTGGCGCAGCTGTTTGTTTTGGGTCTCTATATCAATTCAAGGTCTCATTCCATCGTCGGAGCAATCTCGGGAAACCATGTCCAAGAGAAAATTCGGATTCGAAGGATTCGGCATCAATCGTCAATCGAGCTACAACTTTGAGCAATCTCAAGCTCCACAGCGGCTCTACGTACCGCCTTCCTCTACAGCCATGACAACTACGAAGATACAGACCTACTACCAGACCTGAACTGCAGCAACAACATACTATAAATGAGATGGAGCTCGCAGCCAGAGCTCGTCTTATGATTGTTAGCTTCACTGCCAAGTAGGGGCTTCCTACCTTTAGTATTGGTTGTGGGCTGTAGCTGTACAGTGCGCTTTTTGTTCATGAGGATGGACCAATGTGCAGTAACAATAAATTTTTCTTCCTTCTGCCTTTGCCATTTACTCAGTGATGGACGCAAAGTAAGTCGTCGTTCTTCTGCAGTTCTGCAACATTGCATTTGGGGTGTCGCGCTATTTTTTTGAGCAAGATATATTACTTGATATGTAAAGCGTTTTACTGCCAATAATTACAAGACATGTTTAGCCTTCACCCGACGAACGAGATTTTCGAGTTCCTATATATATATATTGGCTAATATCAAATTTTGAACTTTAATTAGTACTTTCAATATAATATGATAATATGACATAGAATCATAAAAAATCAATCCATTGCCTTAACCCCTTCACATTCAATTTTGAATCCCAACCCAAAATCCCAAATTGTAAACCTAAACCCTAATCCCAATTCGCTAAAACCTAAATCCTTCGAATTAAAGTATTTTGAATGAATTTTTTTCAAATTCATGTGCTTTTTGTTCATAATATCATAAGCAACAATTGATACCATTTTGACATGAATCGCATGGTCAGAATGGCATTTATGAGGCGGGTGCACTGAGTGCACCCAAAAAGTGGGTGCACCGAATATATTAAACATGCGATTTATGTCAAAATGATGTCAATCATCACTTATGATGTGATGAACAATAACGCACATGAATTTGCACAAAAACCATTAAAAATTTACTTTAATTTGAAGGATTTAGGGTTTAGAAATTTAGGGTTAGGGTTAGGGTTTACGATTTGGGGTTTAGGGATAGAACTCAAAATTGGAGGTCTAAGGCTTAGGGTAATCCGCTAATTAGTTGTTATCATATGTTATATCATCATATTAAACTAATTCTACAGATTAAAATTCAAAATTCGACACCTTAATACTAGTTTTTGAGTTGGGTGCACTGAACGCACTCATTTTTGTGAGTGCACCGAAGTAGTCACCATATATATATGGTGGCGTCCTCGGTGCACTCACTTTTTTGGGTGCATTCAGTGCACTCACTTCATAACCGTCATTTTAAACATGTGATTTATGTCAAAATGATGTCAATCATCACTTATGATGTGATGAACAATAACGCACATGAATTTGCACAAAAACTATTGAAGATTTACTTTAATTTGAAGGATTTAGAGTTAGAGATTTAATGTTAAGGTTAGGGTTAGGGTTTACAATTTGGGGTTCAAGGATAGAACTCATAATTGGAGGTCTAGGGCTTAGGGTAATCCACTAATTAGTTGTTATCATATGTTATATCACCATATTACACTAATTCTACAAATTAAAATTCAAAATCCGACACCTTAAAACTAGTTTTTGAGTTGGGTGCATTAAACGCACTCATTTTTGTGAGTGCACCGAAGTAGTAACTATATATATTGATAGTACAGGTCTACATACTAGCATATGCTTTAAAATAATTATAGGTTCATACGATTGCTGGTATCACCGACAATGTGAAGGAATAGACTACTAAAAGCAAGAAAGAAGGTTTTTATAGAATTCAATTGACTAATAAAAGAAGGAATATTTTCCAACAATACCGGTATCACACTATTTTTTGCAGTGAAATCATTAGGGTGCTAAAATTATTATCATGATAATTACCAAATCAAATAAACTTAAATTTTATTAATAATGAAATACAATATCATTAACCAAATCATCCAAACTAATGCAACAACCAAATTAATCAAATTAAAACCTAATCAGTTTATTTAATTGATAAACAGCGTTACCAATTAAAATCACATTATCATTATTGAGTGAGAAAATTCTCCGGTTAATGCATTAATTCGCAATTTATATAATAAAAATCATAACAATCAACACATAGTTATAGTTAAACATAACATAAAAACATGCAGCTAATACAATTATCTTAAAGTCAATAGAAGTATTCACCTAGCAAAATTATATGCAACTGTATGGAGTTAATGAATTATTGTGTTTGTGTGAATTGACCAAGTCTCTTAGCAATTATCATAGGCTAAATAAAACTTATTTTCAAGTTTTCATCAAATATAATGTATGAGTTTTAACTAAATTATAAGTTTTTATGTTGTGGCCGGTCTACACTCTACAAATACAGATATACAATATAGGAACAATATTGAGCTTTATTTTCTTTTATGAGCCTAAAAGAGAGGAATGTTTGAGGGTTGGGTGGATAATATGTGTATATAATATATATTAGATATATGGCTGATTGCTTAACTTATTAATTTGGTTTCATTGGTTATGAGTGTCTGAAACCAAACCAAACCATCTAAACCAAACAAGCTAAACAATTTGACCAAACCAAATCAATTATCCAAATTAACCACCAAATTATTGAAAAAGTACCGGTTAATAAGGGGTGGAGCTAGAGTATAATAAGGGGTGCCTAGAGGAGAAAACACAAAATATTAGTAGTATTAGTTAGTTAATGATGATATTTAAACGCTAAATTTCAATGCCAATCGTCAAATCTTCTATCATTAAATCACAACAAACTAATAAATTAATTTCATCTGACGAACAAGGAATTAGTCTAGTGGTAATACTACTAGCCTTGAACCTGGAGGTCCCAAGTAGTACCTAATTACAAAAAAATAACCTATATCACCCTTATCTAAAAAAAATTAATTAATTTCATATGCTAATTTCTACATGAAAATTAGTTCATATCAATGTATTTGCTAGTGAAAATAGATTTGATTTGCTACTATCGTCTGTTAATGCACAAGTTGATAACATTTTATGCTATGAAACGATTGATCAGCCTTCGGATTTAGTGAACCAAAATTGTGAATGGTTATTCGGTGGGTTATATTAAGTGTGAAATCTTCATAGTTTGGCCGATCCATATAGTTATAGAATAATTTCACAATATAAAACACAAAACCGCCTATATAAATTTTTATGTCACCCCCTTGAATAAAATCCTGGCTACGCCATTAATTACTCCGTTGAGTGAAAAAAGAATGTCAATTGACTAATAAAATAAGTAGAACATCATCAACCTTAATTATTAATCAAGTCATCCTATATAATACATAGTTTATTTTCCATCCATCCAGTTTTGTTTGGCACACTGACCCAAATTCGATGGCGTGGACCAGATGGAGGTTGTCATAGATCAATTCTAACAGATCTCGACACAAATCGCCCCACGCTCGCGCCTCTGCTCTGCTCATCGCAATCCTCCTCCTCGTCTTCCAGACCAACTGTCAATTTCTCCCCCTTTTATCGATTACCCTGTTTACAAGCATCTAGGCAGTGGCGTAGCCAGACTTCAAGTTAACTGGGGTCCTAAAAATTTGTAATGCTAGAATCTATGCCTTGAATAGAGTTTGAGTTGATTGGGGTTCTTAAAAATAGCTAAAATTAATAAGAGTATGGGTGTCCTAAGTTTGAAGAATCGGCTAAAACACCTACGTATCTACTGAATTTTTTTTTGCCTAATTTTTCTGTCCCACTCCTCCACACTTGTCTCCCCACTGCATCTAGGGTTACATATAAGGAGCATTCTCCTTACTTGGTATGTAAACCATTCAAGAGAAGGAAACCGCAAGTGATGGGCTGGGCCAACAAGAGATTCAAACGAAAATCCTTCTATAGACTGCGGCTGGCCGGCGGCAGCAGCGAGGGAATTTTACGCTTTCGGAAGGACAGATGGAGAGCTGAGGCGGGCAGCACATTGGTGATGAGTGGGCCTTAGTCTGCCTTATTCCTGGGCTAAACAATAGGTCCAGGTCTGCGAAAAAGGAATGGGCCTAACCGTAACCCAATCCCAAACCGACGACGCACCTTATCGATAGCGGACGCTCAGTTGCCGGATCCGGATCGAATTCAGTATCCGAATCACCGTCACTGCACTGACCTGTCCGTTTGAGCTGAAAATCAAAATTCATCAGCGCTTCAACTCCACTTCCCGTCAATTAGGGTTTATTCGCACCTGGCGCAGCTACTTGATCAATTCAAGATCTCATTCCAGCGTCGGAGTAATCTCGGGAAACCATGTCCAAGAGGAAATTCGGATTCGAAGGATTCGGCATCAACCGTCAATCGAGCTACAACTTCGAGCAATCTCAAGCTCCACAGCGGCTCTACGTCCCGCCTTCCTCTCGCCACGGCCATGACAACTACGAAGACACGGACCTGGACGACATCGATTACGACGAGAATGAAAACGCCCCCAAGGATGCGGCCGGCGATGACGACAACAAAAATGGCGCCGTCGACGAGGAAGAAATCGACCCTCTGGATGCTTTCATGGAAGGTATACACGAAGAGATGAAAGCAGCGCCCCCGCCGAAGCCTAAGGAAAAGGTGGATAAGTATAGGGATGACGAGGAAGATGACCCCATGGAGAGCTTCCTGAGGGCGAAGAAAGATGTCGGGTTGACGTTGGCGGCGGATGCTCTTAATGCTGGATACAATTCCGACGAGGAGGTTTATGCTGCGGCGAAAGCTGTGGATGCAGGATTGCTGGATTATGATTCGGATGATAATCCGGTGGTGGTTGATAAGAAGAAGATTGAGCCCATTGCAGCTTTGGACCATAGTTCCGTGGATTACGAACCCTTTAACAAGGATTTCTATGAGGAAAACCAATCCATAGCAGGTTGGTGGGTCTTGTTGAGATGGACAGTTGAATTGATTTTGCAGGAAAGTGTTCTGCTTTATTAACTTCGACTTGCTATTGTGCTTTGTTTTCAGCGATGAGCGAGCAGGAGGTAGCTGAGTATAGGAACACTCTAGCTATCCGAGTTTCAGGTTTTGATGTTCCCAGGCCAGTTAAGACGTTCGAAGATTGTGGATTTTCAGCACAGCTTATGGGTGCTATTACCAAACAAGGATATGAAAACCCAACGCCCATTCAACGGCAAGCTTTCCCAATCGTCCTGTCTGGGAGAGACATAATCGGGATTGCGAAAACTGGTTCTGGTAAGACTGCTGCTTTTGTACTTCCTATGATTGTACATATTATGGATCAACCCGAGCTTCAGAAAGAAGAAGGGCCAATTGGGGTGATATGTGCACCTACTAGGGAGTTAGCTCACCAGATATACTTGGAGGCAAAGAAATTTGCTAAACCATATGGGTTGCGAGTCTCTGCTGTCTATGGTGGAATGTCTAAGCTTGAGCAGTTCAAAGAACTGAAAGCTGGTTGTGAAATAGTTGTTGCTACTCCAGGTAGATTAATAGACATGATTAAAATGAAAGCGGTGAATATGTCTAGAGGGACTTGCTTGGTACTTGATGAGGCAGACAGGATGTTTGACCTTGGATTTGAGCCTCAAATAAGGTCTATCGTTGGTCAGATTAGGCCAGATAGGCAGACTCTACTCTTTTCAGCTACCATGCCTTACAAAGTTGAGAAGCTGGCCAGAGAGATTCTTTCTGACCCTGTCAGAGTTACAGTGGGGGAGGTTGGGATGGCCAATGAGGATATTACTCAAGTAGTCCAAGTTATTCCATCTGATGCAGACAAGCTTCCCTGGCTTCTCGAGAAGTTACCTCCAATGATTGATGATGGAGATGTCCTAGTGTTTGCCTCTAAAAAGGCCATGGTTGACGAGATAGAGTCGCAGTTGGTTCAGAAGGGGTTCAAAGTTGCATCCCTTCATGGTGACAAAGATCAGGCTTCAAGGATGGAGATCTTGCAGAAATTTAAGTCGGGTGTTTACCATGTCCTTATTGCAACCGATGTGGCTGCTCGTGGGCTCGATATTAAATCGATTAAGTCGGTTGTGAATTTCGATATTGCCAAAGACATGGACATGCATGTGCATCGTATTGGTAGGACTGGTCGTGCTGGTGACAAGGATGGAATTGCTTATACACTTATCACTCAGAAAGAGGCACGATTTGCAGGAGAGTTGGTCAACAGTTTGGTTGCTGCTGGTCAAAATGTCTCTGCTGAACTTATGGATCTTGCTATGAAGGTAACTAAGCTCTCTGGTTATATTATTGTTCATACATATAATGTTTACAAGCTTAAATCTTTTTGCTTTTTGATTTGCTTTTGTCATGTTATGACTATAACTAGGTACTTCTTAGTTGCTAGGCTTTAAGCTATTAGTACGGGATCCTTAGTGTCATATTCTTTGCAGTGGTTGTCCCATCTAGACTTGCATGAAAATAATCATCCATAAGTTCTTAATTTCCTGTCTTTGCAAGTCAGATTGTAGCATGAAAGACAGAGGGTTCATGCATACTTGCTACTGTGTTGTTTCTATGTTTTGTGATCTAAGGGATTTTGGATAAAACAATGGTTTTTATGGAGCATAATGGGTTAGCATATCTCTAGAACATCTGAACTATACCGATACTTGTTCTGCTAGTTGTGAGGCATCTCTCCAGAGTTCCTAGTATCCACAGCAATTACTACAACCTTAAATGATCTCTGGCTAGTATTCTCTCTTTCCCCCAAAATGGCATATATAGCAGTCTTGGAAAAACCACTATGGTCGACAATCACTCAAGTGCCTCATCTATTGTTTGAATCCATGATACTTACTTTGCTAGTTATGATGTACCCTACTTTCATTTCCGGTGAAATGATGCATCTCATTCCTCTCTTGGTTTTGGTTCAGTTTCACTTCTATGTTAGCTACTAGATAACTTCATTGGCAATTCATTTGATTCATTTTCTCCACTCCAATTCTCTTAAGACATAGAGTAACATTTACCATGTAACTCATTAGGATGGAAGATTCAGGTCCAAACGAGATGCAAGAAAGGGAGGTATGCTTTTTTTCGCTAATATTGTAGTTGACATATGCTTTACAATTTTAGCGAGTCCATGATTTTCTTCATCCTCAAAATTGCAATCGACTTCCATCAACAAAATGGGTTTTAGTTTATAAGTCTGTTGACATTTAAGTGGTCAAATCTCACCTGCAGGTGGTAAGAAGGGCAAAGGCAGGGGCGGTGGAGGTAATCGAGGAGTCCGCGGCGTGGATTTTGGTCTGGGAATCGGCTACTCTCCTGATTCCAGTTGGTCCTCGTCTCAGGATAGACCCGGTAGATCAGCAGCTGTCAATTCGATCCGGACAGGGATGATGGGACAGTTCAAGAGCAACTTTGTCGCTGCTTCGTCGAATTCTCAAAACCAGGGATTCAACAATAACAATCATGGTCCAAGTCATGTTCCCAGCACAAGGCCTGCATTACGCGGGTTCGTTTCAGGTGGTTCAATAGGAGGTGATGCAAACCGAATTCAGACACCCAGTAGTACCACATTATCTGGATTTGCCTCTGCTGGTTCAATTACCGGTGATGCAAACAGAAGTCAAAACTCATCAGGAAATACCAGTCAGAAAACACCAGAAAGGTAATTTAGTAGCTTAATTACGATAAATCAATAGGTTGCGAAACTTGATTCAAGTTATTAACCACCATCATGTTTGATGTTCCTCCACACTTGCAGTTCGAGAAGCAAAGGCAGAGAACGGCGGAGACCCTCTGGTTGGGACAATTGACGTAACGTGATAGTTCGTTCCCCTCTACCACCCACATGAACAAGCGCGAGCCTTGTGGGATAGAGTTTGTAGTTTGCTGTATGATTCGAGTGCATCTTTATACGAACTCTCTTCTGGGAGATCTTGTTTTTGGTTAACTCGGAATGATGTTGTATTTGTTCATAGTTGTATAAATTGATTGGCATTAGCGATGTCATAATCACTTTATTAAATGCTGCTGTAACTTTGACCGAATTTCCTCTTCGGTCTGAGATTAGTATTGCACAATACACTTATCGCTTTTGGTAACAGTTTTCGCACTCTAGAGTCTAGACCTCTGTATGGAGATGGGGAAAGCCTAGAAACTAGATAGTATCAGTTAGTGGGTGGTATTTTTTTATTTTTAACAATTCGTGTTATTATGATTAATTGATTTTTAACATAGTATCAGAGCCTGAGAGGTTAGAGAAAGAATTGACTATTGAGGATAGGAGATTGATGATCTCACTTGACAAAAAAAAAAAAAAAATGGGGCAAAAAATTCATTAGATATATAGGCTTTAGTATGATCCATCAAGTTTAGGAACTCATACTTTGGTCGATGCTAAGTTTTCTGCTCAATCACAATAATTGATCCTTCAAGTTTAGGATCCCATACTTTGGTCGTTGCTAGGTTTTTTGTTCAATCCCTATAACCCCATTTTGCGAAGCACATTGTATTCTTATATACGAAATGTGTGCATATTAAAAATTTTATGAATCGAATTATTAGGATCAACTGGTTCTTGCCACAAAGGAAGCGAAAAGGTATAATTGTAACTAATTCGTCTTCCTCCCTCCCCCATTCCTTTCCCTTTCCGTTCCCCTTCCCCAATTGCTTTACGTTTATTTTAGGGGCTAAGATCAGGTGACTAAGGTGCCTCTTAGTCACATGACTAAGTCAATCTAACCCATTAAAGCCCATTAAAATCCAATGGTTCAGATTTATCTAGTTTAATGAAGGGTAAGGTGGTAATTACTTTATTTATTTATTTAACAACTAAATTAAAAAAACAAAAAAAGGTGTGGCCTCCGCCCTCCCCGCCTGCGGCCGCCGTTCCTGGGAATTTCTCCCGCCGTGGGGTTTTTGTGTCCCAGTTGGGATTTTATGTCGGGCTAAGATCAAGTGACTAGGGGGGGAGGGTCCCTTAGTCATGTGACTAAGTGAATCTCAACCCTTCCACCTCATTAAAATTCAATGTCCTGATTAATCTAATCTAATGAAGGGCAATGTAGTAATTTAATTATTTAATTTTTATTTACCAATTAAAATAAATAAAAATCCAGCCCCCGATCCGTTCCCTTCTCCACGCGGCTTGCGTATTTTTTCCAGAGACTTTCGACCCTTCCCGCCGGCCGATCCTTCTTTCCGGTGGCGTGTAATTCGCCGGCGCCATTTTTCCCAGGGAGGGTATCCCTTGAGAATTATCCCCGAGAGAGAGAGAGGTCAATGGGTGTTTTTTGGGAAAGAGAATTTCCCACGAGAGAGAGAGAGAGAGGGGTTTTCTTGTCAACTTTCCGGTGATGGTGGAGCAATTTTCCGGCGACCAAAGACGGTGGTGGATGATTTTCCGGCAACAGTGTTGAATTCGTGATGATTGTCAACCTATATTGTTATGTTTATAAGTTCAGTTTGTATTGTTTATACCAATTTGGTTTGTATCGTTTATCATTCTACTTTGTTATTTTAGTCTGTTGTGTTTGTAATGTTTATATGACTATTTTGTATATATTGTAATTTGTAATGTTTGTTTGTCTCGTTTGTATACTTTATGTTATGATTTGCACAATTTCTATTCATTGATTTGTAATACAAGTTTACTGATTTGTATTTGTAAGTAGTGTTATTTTGTACTGTTAGTATGTTTTGTAATGTTTGTCGAGTTGTTTTGTAATGTTTGTAAGTTTTTTTATTTTTGTCCAACATATTTGTCATTTTTACAAAACATACAAACCGTGCCAACGCGCTCTCTCCATCGCCTCTCTCTCCTCCACCATCGTCTCTATCTCTCCTCTGTTTTCCGATGACGACGGCTAGATCTGCTCTCTCTGTCTCCAAGCCTGCCGCCTCTGTCGCAATCTCCTTTTCCTCTCTCCATCGTCGTCGGCGCCTTCGAGATCTCCATTGTCGTCGTTGCCGTCGAGATCTCCATCATCCTCGGCGTTGGCATCACCTTTCTCTCCTCCAGCGTAGCGCCGCCGCCTTTCTCTTTCTCTCTCTCCTCCTCCGCCATGGCTTTCTCTCTCTCTGGACATTGCAAAAAAGGGAAAGGGAAGAGACGTGTTGCAGATGAAAAAAAAAAGAATTCAATAATAATAAATAAAACAAAATAAAAAAATAGAAGTTAATAATTTATTGATAATGCCAAAACTACCCAGATCCAGACTCTTTTATGTCCCAATTCCCAAAAGCCAAAAGTAGACAGCTACGAGAGAGAGAGAGAGAGAGAGAGAGAGAGAGAGAGAGAGAGAGAGAGAGAGAGAGAGAGAGAGAGAGAGAGAGAGAGAGAGAGAGAGAGAGAGAGAGAGAGTTTTCTTATCAACTTTTCTAGCGACAGTGGAGCAATTTTCTGGCAACCAGAGACGGTGGTGGATGATTTTCCGTCAACAGTGTTGAATTCGTGATGATTGTCAACCTATATTGTAATGTTTATAAGTTCAGTTTGTATTGTTTATACCAATTCAGTTTGTATCGTTTATCATTCTACTTTGTTATTTTAGTCTGTTGTGTTTGTAATGTTTATATGACTATTTTGTATATATTGTAATTTGTAATGTTTGTTTGTCTAGTTTGTATACTTTATGTTATGATTTGTACACTTTCTATTCATTGATTTGTAATACAAGTTTACTGATTTGTATTTGTAAGTAGTGTTATTTTGTATTGTTAGTATGTTTTGTAATGTTTGTCGAGTTGTTTTGTAATGTTTGTAAGCTTTGTTATTTTGTAATGTTTGTCGAGTTCTTTTGTAATGTTTGTAAGCTTTGTTATTTTTGTCCAACATATTTGTCATTTTTACAAACCATACAAATCACACTGACATTATGTACAAAAATACTAACAATATAAACCGACAACACTTGCATTACAAATCATTGTTCTTCCCTCTCTCTCCACTGTTGTCGCCGCTGTCGACTCTCTTTCCACCGCCGCCGCCGCTACTCTCTCTACTGCCATTTCCATCTCTCTCTCTCTCTCTCCATCGTCGCACCGCCTCTCTCTCCTCCACCGTGCCGACGCGCTCTCTCCATCGCCTCTCTCTCCTCCACCATCGTCTCTCTCTCTCTCCTCTGTTTTCCGACGACGACGACTAGTCTGCTCTCTCTCTCTCTCTCTCCAAGCCTGCCGCCTCTATCGCAATCTACTTTTCCTCTCTCTACCGTTGTCGGCGCCGTCGAGATCTCCATTGTCGTCGTTGCCGTCGAGATCTCCATCATCGTCGGCGTTGGCATCGCCTTTCTCTCCTCCAGCGTAGCGCCGCCGCCTTTCTCTTTCTCTCTCTCCTCCTCCGCCACGGCTTTCTCTCTCTCTGGACATTGCAAAAAAGGGAGAGGGAAGAGATGTGTTGCAGATGGAAAAAAATAATTCAATAATAAATAAAACAAAATCAAAAAATAGAAGTTAATAATTTATTGATAATGCCAAAACTACCCTTCTCGTTTAATAATAATTAATTGATTTATCTGGACCATCAGATCAATCCAAAGGCTGAGGGGGGCTTAGTCAAGTGACTAAGGACCCCCCCCCCTCCTTAGTCACCAGATCCGGACTCTTTTATGTCCAAATTCCCAAAAGCTAAAAGTAGACAGCTACGAGAGAGAGAGAGAGAGTTTTCTTATCAACTTTTCTAGCGACGGTGGAGCAATTTTCCGGCGACCAGAGACGGTGGTGGATGATTTTTCGGCAACAGTGTTGAATTTGTGATGATTGTCAACCTATATTGTAATGTTTATAAGTTCAGTTTGTATTGTTTATACCAATTCAGTTTGTATCGTTTATCATTCTACTTTGTTATTTTAGTCTGTTGTGTTTGTAATGTTTATATAACTATTTTGTATATATTGTAATTTGTAATGTTTGTTTGTCTAGTTTGTATACTTTATGTTATGATTTGTACACTTTCTATTCATTGATTTGTAATACAAGTTTACTGATTTGTATTTGTAAGTAGTGTTATTTTGTACTGTTAGTATGTTTTGTAATGTTTGTCGAGTTGTTTTGTAATGTTTGTAAGCTTTGTTATTTTGTAATGTTTGTCGAGTTCTTTTGTAATGTTTGTAAGCTTTGTTATTTTTGTCCAACATATTTGTCATTTTTACAAAACATACAAACCATTCAAATCACACTGACATTATGTACAAAAATACTAATAATACAAACTGACAACACTTGCATTACAAATAATTGTTCTTGCCTCTCTCTCCACTGTTGTCGCCGTCGTCGACTCTCATTCCACTGCCGCCGCCACTGACTCTCTACTGTCGTTTCCATTTCTCTCTCCATCGCCGCACCGCCTCTCTCTCCTCCACCGTGTCGACGCGCTCTCTCCGTCGCCTCTCTCTCCTCCACCATCGTCTCTCTCTCTCCTCTGTTTTCCGACGACGACGGCTAGATCTACTCTCTCTCTCTCTCCAAGGCTGTCGCCTCTGCCGCGATCTCCTTTCCCTCTCTCCACTGTCGTCGGCGCCATTGAGATTTCCATTCTCTCTCTCCATCGTCGTCGTCGCTCCCCTCTCTTTCACCGTCACTGTCCTTCTCTCCCACTGCTGCGTTTCTCTCTCTCTTTTATGGTTGAGAATAGCAACGCAGAAAAGGAAGATTGGAGGAAAAAAATAAATAAAATTGAATGCAATTTTTTATAATTCCAATATTGCCCCTGCCACTATTTAATTATCCCTTCCATAAATTTCACAATTAGATCAGTCCATCTAGATCCAAGGATTAGGAGCACCCCCCTAGTCACAGGATCCGGACTCTTTATTTTAGTAGAGTTTCATATACAAATTATAGATTGGTATCGATATGGTTATTTGTGGTGTGCTTTATGGAGCTTGTGATAAGGTTACTTGTGGTTTGCTTTAGCACTTAAAATTAATTTTTTACATATAAGTCCTAAAAAGTCTGATGAAAAATTACATTTTCGGACCTAAATATTTTTCTTCTTACATTTTGGTACATGAATTTTTAAAAAATTTACAAATAGGTCCACTATTAAGAAATTTGTAGTGTGTTTTGTGAGACTTGTGGTTTGTTTAATAAACTTGTGGTCTAGATTTTGTGTTTCCCCACCTCTTCCCCCATTTAATTGCCCAAGAAACGGGGTCGGTTAGCATGCTAACCCTCCTTAGGGGTTGGAAAAATGACACCCCTTAGTATATTAAATACAACTATAGAATTTAATACACACATTAAATACACATTAGGAATTAAATGCACCATATTAATTATTTTTTTGTTTTTCAAATAAAACCTACACTAAATACATTTTCTCTCACTATATCTGATTTTTCATTTTTCAGCAGTCTCCGACCACCAGACTTCCTCCGACCGCCACACTTCTCCGGTGAAAATCCCATCGGCAGACTCTCTCCGACCACCTCCAAAAAATATATCACTGCACTGATACGTTGTACCACTGTACTGGTAGATATACCACTGCACTGGTAGCGATATCAGTGCACTGGTACTAATGTCATATCTGAGTATCAGTGCAGTGGTACAACTACCAGTAAAGTGGTACAACATATCAGTGCAGTGGTATATTTTTGCATGTGACCGGAGAGAGTTTGTCGGCGGATTTTACCGGCGAAGTGTGGTGGTCGGAGGAAACTTGGTGGTCGGAGGCTGCTCGGAAAGGAAGAATCAGAGATAGGAGTGAGAAAGATCAAAGATGAGAGAGAGAATTGTATTTTGTATATGTTTAGATTTTTTAAAAAATAAGTAATTAATGTGGTGTAATTAATGCTTACTTTGTATTTAATAACAGAACATTTATTATGTTTACTTTCATTAATACTTGTCAATAATTAATGAAAAATTGACCAATTAAAATGGGGTGTCAAAAAACCAACCCCTTAAGGGGTTAGCATGCTAACCCGTCCCCCAAGAAACACGTAAATCCCCCTTCCCCAAAATTTTCATAACATCAAGCGTCATTAATTGTGGCAACCCATTTAAACTAAAAATACATCTAAAGGAAATGGTTCTATTGGCTGGAGCTAGTGTTAGCACTATGTAACAAAAAAACAAAATGTTATTCATAAAAAAAAAAAAAAACAAAATGTTAGCTATGGATGGCAAAAATATCCGTAACTGTGGATATCCACCCGAATCCGACCTAATCGGGTAGGGTAAAACCCGAACCCGAAGCATTTTTCGTGGGTACGGTAAAACCCGAACCCGAATGTTGCGGGTAATGGGTGGGCATGGTTATCTCACCATCCAACCCGAACCCGCCCGATTATACACATGCATATGTATTTTGTCTAGAAATAATCATTATTCTTCTCTAGAATATTTTATATTTAGCATATAAATATAATATATTCATGAAATTATGTTGTTTTAATTAATTTTCGTCATTCTAGTGAATTATTTTCGTACTTTTCCTCTTACGTAATGTGAGTATACGTGTGAATATTAACATATTTGTTGGAATTATAAGGAGAAATTATTACCCATGGATAACCGTGGATACCCGAAACCCGAACGTGTATGGACATGGTTTTGATTTTCTACCCGTTTCTCGTATGGGTACGGGTATGGGTAAAACCCGAACTACATTGGGTAGGGTAACGAATATGCACTATCCGCCTCCGACCCCACCCATTTTCATCCCTAAATTTTTAGCACACTAGCTCCTCCTGTATCTGTTGACGAGGGAGGAACGCTACTATACCGCACGTGTAGAAACAATTCGAACCGTGGGGAGACTGTGGATGTATTCGAAGTTCCGAAATGCCTCGTGCCATCTGACGTCTCTGATGATGCCTGTAATTATGGTGGTCGGTGGTGTGCTTTTCTGCACTCGAGCTGAGGGATGGTCCCTTAGCATCGCCGATTTAGTTGTGGTGCAGATAGCAAGCCTTTTACGTGCACTCAGCCCTCCAATGTGTGGTGCTGAGCGTGATCTTAGCTTTCGGAGTCGAAGCTAATAGTGCTCCTTGATCCAATGTGACTAAGATGTCCCCAAGTCTGAGTTACACACGCCTTCCTGTTAGTACCACTGAACCACAACTAAACTGCAAGCAGGCTCGCCTGTTCCTCCTACAACCATAACCCCAAACCACAGAGTATGCTACAACAGCCCTATTGGGAATGGGACGTCCATTATCTGTGCCAAAAAAAATCATGATGGTCCTCATCCAATCGCCACTTCCTCTGGCTATAAAGTGAGTGTTCCATTTCAAGGAGTAAAGAACAATTCTTTGTGGCTCAGAAGAACTCATAATGAGGGTGGTTGAAAGAAAGGAAACTCTCACTTGTTCATCATTAGCTTCTATCTTATCCCATTTTGTCTTGGTTCTGGGATTATCACACACATGTCATCAGTAGGTGGTGGTAAAAAGACACCCCCTTTTTTGCGTTGATAAGGGTCACTTCCATTAGGGATGGCAAAAATATCCGTAATCATGGATATCCGTCCGAACCCGGCCTAATCGGGTAGGGTAAAACCCGAACCCGAAGGACATTTAGTGGGTACGAGTAAAACCCGAAACCGAATATTGCGGGTAATGGGTGGGTATGGGTTTCTCAGTATCCAACCCGAACCCGCCCGATTATACACATACATATGTCTTTTGTCTAGAAATAGTCATTATTTTTCTCTAACATATTTTATATTTAACATATAAATATAATATTTTCATGAAATTGTGTTGTTTTAATTAATTTTCTTCATTCTAGTGAATTATTGTCATACTTTTCCTCTTGCATAATGTGAGAATACGTGTGAATGCTAATATATTAGTTGGAGTTATGAAGAGAAATCATTACTCATGGATAACCGTGGATACCCGAAACCCGAACAAGTATGGGCATGGTTTTAATTTTCTACCCGTTTCATATGTGGGTATGGGTATGGGTAAAACCCGAAATACTTTGGGTAGGATAACGGATATGCACTATCCGTCCCCGACCCGACCCATTGCCATCCCTAACTTCCATTCACGCAAATGCAATGGGTTCTTTCCCCCTTTGCACGATGAACTTTGGGTAGAATGTTTGATAAAGGTGGATGTATGCATTGATGTCTTTCGATTGGTGGTTCTTCATTCCCAGAAGAAGGCCTGACCTACGTTGAAACTTCCAACGAACGTAATTTTGCGCTCAGTTATCCGATCGTAGCGAATTTTTTTTTATTCCGCATAATTTTTTGAGATCTTACAAATCGCAAAGTTCATTACGTTCAGATAGCGGAGCATAAAGTTATGGCCGAAAAATTGCTCGTTCGATATAACAAACGACGTTTTTTTCGGAACGAAGGCGGGAGCCAACAGCCTACACCGGGGGTAGTAAACGATAGCATAATTGATCCAATAATAACAAACGCGTAAATGAGCAATTACACAACACATATAACCACTCGAATCATGTATAGATATTAATGCTAATTGTAATTGATTCCACATATGTACTTCTGTTGCATGCACCTCATTTCTTTATATGTGCCTTTTTTTCCATTCTCCATACAAGTTACAACATTCACATTATTCTAAAGTATCTGATGATTTCGACCCAAAGGAAAGAAAAGGTATTTGATCTATTGAGTAGCATAACAATCAACCACTTGGGTGGTTCATAACCTTTGGTTTGTTATAGTCCACTATATGTGATTGGAGTGACAAAATGAAAAGAAAGTAGCCAAAATTGACGATTAGATTTCGGGTTAATTGCAAGGATGGTCACTGGGTTTACTAAAACCGTTCATGTTTGGTCACTGCAAATATTTAATTTCATTCATGGTCACTAAGATTAGTTCAATAGTTCAAGTTTGGTCACTCTCCGTTAGTTTTTGCTGATGTGGCAGTCAATTATTATAGTTGACCGTTAAATGAGTGACGTGGCCATTAAAAAAATAATAAAATAATAAAATTTAAATATTTACAATTTACACATCATTTTACAACTAATAAAAAATAAAAATAAAACTTACCACCTCCATCTACGCGATCGTCTCCCTTTGCGTCATGACCAAATCCCTCGCCGCCACTGCGCTCTCCGACCGGGTCAATTTTCTTCGACCTCCCACCCAACGACGCCGCTGTCGACCCCACCGTCAAAGACGTCGTCAAATTCTTCATGGACTCATACAATTCCCACGTCCGCGACGCCGTCGCCAAGCTCGTCCAGGCCTCCCCTCTCGTCTCCGGGCTCCTCGTGGACATGTTCTGCACCACATTCATCTACGTCGCCGACGAATTCGGCCTCCCCAGCTACATCTTCTACACCTCTGGCGCCGGATGCCTCAACGGTTTGATCGGATTGTGAGCGCGGCGATTGAGAAGAGATTGGGCGGTGGTGGAGAGAAGAAGGAAGGGGATGGGGTTAATAACAAGAAGAAGGATTTGTTGCAGGTTCTGCTGGGTTCTGGTGATGCCTCGTCCTTGGCTTCCATGGCCCATTTCAAAGCCCTGCTCCAGATACCGGAAGTCGGCGGATTCACTGTCCCCCAAGGGACGGAAGTCGTCGTCAACGGCTGGGCCATCCACAGGGACCCTCAGTTCTGGGACGAGCCGTCGGATCTCCGACCGGAGCGGTTTCTGGACGGTGGGGACGGGAGACCTGTTAATTATTAATTGAGAGACAGATAACATTCATTAGTAGACAGATGACATTAACTGCTCATGGAGCTCTGTAATGTTCCATACCTCATTAGCTACCTCCTAGCTGTATAGAGCATGGCTCCATACTCAGATTTGTGTATATATATCCATGATCTAATCAATGTAAAACAGGCTTTTCCAATAACAATTCTATCCTGCCAACTGCCAGCGTTTGATTTCATGGGCGGCGGGAGCAGTGGTTTCCGGTACATTCCGTTCGGGTCGGAGGAGCTGTGCGGGAGTTCATTTGGCGGAGAGGCTGATGAAGTATGTATTGGCTTCGTTCTTGCATTGTTTCGAGTGGAAGCTTGCCGACGAGGAAGGAGGAGTTGTTGATTTTGCCGACGAGTTTGCGCTGTTGATCAAGAAGAAAAGGCCGTTAATCGCAGTGCCGAGTCCCCGCCTGCTTGCTAGGCCAGAGCTGCTTGCTTAATTTGGGGATTAGGTCTTTGGAATTTGCATCTCAAGTAATAATGGTTCTTTCGATTTCTACGGAATGGGTGGATTGTCAAATTTATAGTGTTTGGTATATAGAATTGGGCTAGAGTAGGATGATTGAATTGGGATCTGTAAAATGAGGTGTAAATTGTAAGTATTTAAAATTTAAAATTTTATTATTTTTTTAATGGCCACGTCATCCATTTAACGGTCAACTATAATAGTTGACTGCCACATCAGCAAAAATTAACGGAGACTAACGGAGAGTGACCAAATTTGAACTATTGAACTAATCTTAGTGACCATGAATGAAATTAAATATTTACAGTGACCAAACATGAACGGTTTTAGTAAACCCAGTGACCATCCTTGCAATTAACCCATTAGATTTCTATAATCATTAATATAGAGACTGACATGAGATGAGAGAGATAGTGAGTACACTAGAAAAGGATACAACACTAAGCATAGTCTCATATACTATGCTGAAAAGAGAGGCATCAACCCTAAGCTTACAAAAAGGGGCTGTGGTCTAAGGAAGTCTTTCCAATTGGGTTGTTGCCTAATATCAATTTCTCATTCCTTCAGCTTGAAGGGTCTCTGTAATTTGCATCTATGCCTCTGATTTCCACAGTGCAGAAATATCAGAAACAGCATCTGAAACAGTAAGATACACCCCATTCACCCCAAAAGCCTCCAACACTTCAGACTGATGTAGCTTCTCCATCACACTCCCTGCTGGATTCACAAGCACGAGCTGAATCGATCTCTTCTCTAGCGTCTTCCTAAGTTCGCTCACAAACTCAATCCCACTGGTGTCTATTGCTGTCACAGCTGCAAAACAGAAAGAACATGAAAGAGTTTTGAATCATGATTCCCCTTCATATGAGAAATGGCGACAAGGAAAATGTGGGCTAATATGGTTTAGATTGATTGCCTGTCATGTCCAGGATTATGCACTTCAACATGCTGCCACCATTCTCTTGTATCCACTCCTCTTCCTCTCTTATGCATCTCATTACCCTGCAGCCACACAAAATTCTTCTCATCAGTAAGGAAGGAACGGACTTGGGACAAACCTTTCATTGTATGATACTCTTGAGATCATATGCACAAACCTTTCTTGTAGGTATGTACAATTGGCAAAGTAAATAGGAGACTCGACCGCGAGAATTAGAAACGACGGAACTCTTAGAGCCTGTCTGTATCTTCTGATGTTCTGGTATACTTGAGTTCCTGGTAGGTTCCCCATCACCAGAGTGTTTGGCCTTGTAACATGTAGCAGAACTTTGAATATCGAAACTCCAACCTGGTAACAAAAGTGCAGTCATATGTCAATGTGGTTTCAGGATCAGCAGCAAGTAAGAAAGATAAGGCCATAGAAAGTTTGTTAGATTCTTACTGCTATGGCAAGTCCTAGGGGGACTGAAATGAAGAGAACCCCAAGGAAGGAGCACAAGCAGGCCATGAAGTCGAGTTTATCGACCTTCCACAGCCGGACTGCAGCCTGGTAATCGATGAGTCCTATCACTGCCGTTATGATAATGGCAGCCAAGATGACGTTGGGAGTGTAGTAAAACAACGGCATGAGAAACAGGAGTGTCACTAGCACAGCTGCAGCCATGATTATGTTGGAGACTGCGGTCCGAGCTCCAGCATTGTAGTTCACTGCAGATCGAGAGAAGGATCCCGTTGTCACGTAGCAAGATGAACAGGAACCGGCTATGTTCATAAGACCGATCGCCATCATTTCTTTGTTCCCATCCACTTGGTAGTTTTTCATAGCAGCAAATGTCCTTCCTACTGCGATTCCTTCCTGTCCAAGAAACCATTCATCAATACCTGTTGGGCTAGAGAAAACTTTATTTCTGGAGCAAAGAAACTCACGGTGAGAGACAAGATTCCAGTGATGATCCCGGTTTTGATGGCGAGCCCCAAGTAAGAAGCAGAGAAATTGAGCATGTTCGCTGATGGCGGATTCAATCCCTTTGGAAGATGACCAATCTAATTGAACACCACAACTGAAAGTCAAGACCACAAATTGGCATCATACAAAAGAAAGCAATTCAGAGTTGGGGAGAAGTAGGCTTACAACTGAGACTCCATGGAGCTTGGTTTTCAGGCAGAAGACTAGAATGGTTGAGATCATGACTGATGTTAATGGTGCAGCAGCTGAAACCCAGAAAAGCTTTGGCCTTTTCATGCTCTGGCATCATTCACAATTCCCCATTCATCAAAATTAGGACTCCATTGACAAAAAAAACAAAAAATGATAAAAAAAAAAGTCAATTTGAATTTGACTTACAATATGCCTTGCTGTCAGGAGAAAGAGCAAGAAACTGAAGCCCATCACAATCGTTTGCCACTTCCACTGCCCACACCAACAAAAAAATTAAATTCTCATGTCATTAAATTGACCGTCTGATCTCATTATCCCTAGGAAACTGAACCCATTGAAAACAATTTAATTCACCAACCAACCTCATCTCTCTGATGGAAAACAGAGTACATAACAGGGACGAACTGCATCTTCCCCGTGAAATGAACGATACCCAGAAGCCCTTTCAGCTGCTGAAGCGAGACGATGATGGCGGCGCCGGCGGTGAACCCGACGAGAGTCGCTTTGGAGAGGAAATCGATGATGAAACCCAGCCGGAGGAGGCCGAGCGAGGCCTGGAAGAGCCCAGCGAAGAAGGTGGAAGTGAAGGCCAACTTCAGGTACAGAATCGGGTCGTGAGTTGGCGAGATTTCTTCGCTGAGCATCGAACCCATTACTAGCGAGGCTATGGAGACTGGACCAACTGCCAGGTGCTTTGAGCTCCCCAGCAGCGCGTATATCAATGGCGGCACGAAGCTCGAGTCTGCCACCAAAACAGAAGCAAACAAAAAAATAAAAAAATTAGAAACCCTTTTCTCCCTCAACTGTTCACTTCACTTCATCAATGGCGGACAATGGAAAGTCAAAAGGGGGGAAATTGAATTAAATTGAAATCAACGGTGGTGGAATTGGATGCTCACATAGCCCAACAATTGGCGGTAAATTCGCCAGCTTCGCATAACTGATTCCCTGTAACAGAGTGACAATGGTAGCGTATTAGTGGGTTTTACAATTAATTAATAAAAACTTACCGTATTAGAGAAAAATAAATAAATATATACAGCGAGATTTTCTTTTTTTCCAGATAAAACGTTCCCAGCTCTGACAGACACGAACGGATAAAACAAGCAAAAAGATAGCCTAATTATCCCTTTTTGTCAGTAATCCTGAAAAACGTACGTATAAGACAGAAATCCACTGTACCCGAAATTTATGTGCATGTGGAGATAGATTGGAAGGAAAAGGGAATATCTGTACGTTGATAGATCCAATTTTTTTTTTTACCATCTCTTAATAATTCAAGTTATCGAGATAAATCGGTTTTTGCAATATCCTAATGAAAAGATTTCGTATTACAATTTTTCAATATCTCCCTACTTATAACCCGATTTATCTAACATCGTAGCGCATGGATACTTGGTGATGCTTGTATCCGTCAACGTAGTAACGAAATGAGTAGGCTTCCGATTGGGACAGTGTTAGGGAATTGTACAACATTTAGGTGTAACAAAATGTCACTATCATCAGCACTACTTCCGCTTTTAGATTAGTGGGCATTACCATCAGATGGGAATAAATTATTTTAGGTAAATTCTTAATTTACTTTTGGTAAAGAATATCTTGGGAGATAAGAAGACAATTAATTAATTAATTAATCAAATACGATAATTCGATTGGTTGGTTTAGGGGAAGTGGGGACTGGCCTGAGGGATGGCGAGGCTGGCGATGGTGAGGCCGGAAACGGCGTCGGAGCGGAGGAGGGCGAGGTCGTACTCGGAGGCCCACTGGAAGACGGGGAAGACGAACTGGAGGCCCAGTAGGAGCTTGCGGGGCCCGGTCTGGTTCTTGAAGCGGTGGAGGGGATCGTCGGGGAAGAAGACCTCGGCGAGCCGCTTCTTCAGTTTCTGGAGCGTGGTCATGTGCGGCGGCAGGCACACGTCGTGGTGGCGCTGCTCCTGATCGGGGGACGGGATGGGGGTGGCGGCGGCGGGGGCGACGGCGGCCTGTTTCGTGGGTTCCGGCCGGTACCCGTCGGGTCGGTCGCTGGAGTTGACGCCCATTGTGGGATTTTTGTTTGTTATTAATGTGGTCTTCTGCGGTGGTGGATTTTCTGTTTGGGTAGAGAGAGAAAGAGAGGGCACTTATTGAAAAGGTTGGGGAAGAGAGAGAGAGAGAGAGAGAGAGGAGTTGGTTGAAGAATGAAAGTTGGGGGAAGATGGAAGGGGGTGGCGTTTTGAATTTATAGAGGGAAACTGGAAAGAGAGCGGTGGAGGAAGGGCGGAAACGGAAAGGGAGAGACGAGAGAGAGAGAGGCATCTGCTTCTCTTTGGCTCAATTGCTGGCTGCTCTGTTTTCAATCATACGTGTGAGAGTCGACTCGAGTCTCACAGTCGATTTTGGTAAGGGCGGTGAGAAGGGTGAGTGGGTGACAAAAAAAAAAATTAATGGGAAGTTGAACAGATTATGTAATCAGTAATCACCATACCTTTTTTACCAACATTGTTGGCTCTGGTCTACCTTCTATAATTTTGCTTTTGGATAATATCAAAATTATGATGATTTGTCAATACGTTGCTTTTTTTTTTACTGTTGACTTTTGAGTTCTTACAAAAACTCATCCCGTTCACACTCGATTAAAATTTAGATGTTTATTATTAATTATAGATCTCTATCGTACTTTGTTGATGTGAGATTTGTCTAAGGTCACCTCAAAATTCAAGTTATTAGGACCAGTTGGTTTGTTGCATGGTATCAGAGCTACTTTGTCCTTGAGGTATATAACACCTTATAGTTATATATCAATCTCACATTGACAAAGCACGAGAGAGATCCATAATTCATTAGAAACGTTCCCAACTTAAATTGATAAGATGCATTTGTGGGGTGGGGTGTAATGGGGAAGTTCTTATAAGAAAGCTGAAGTTAAGCATGCTTAAAATGGAGTAGTGTATAAATGAGGGACAAAGTTAGGAAGTCATCGTGATGCATCCCAAAAGCAAAGATGTGTGTGGCTAAGGCCAAAGCGAACAATATCTTGGTCACTAAAAATGTTAGGATTTTATAAGTGGTGTCATATGCTCTTCATGTCCCTATTGAGCAATGGTGGGGGCAAACCTCAATGAGGACGTGAGATCCAAAGTGGGTGTATGTACACCTTAACTAAATCTCACTTCAACAAAGCACGATAGAAATCCTTGATCATAAGAAACAATCCAACTTTAACGGTGAATAAGCAATTTAGGTGAAATGAATGAGTTCTGAGTTGTTATAAGAACTCTGAAGCTAAATGTACTCAAAGTGAAACTATGCATAAATGAGTGACCTATCAGGAAGTCATATAATGCACCCTAAAGGTAAAGCTGTGCAAGAGTAGACTCAAAGTGAACAATATTTTTATGAGAAAAATGTTGGAAATGTTACATATTTCTTTAAACAAAAGTAGATTCAAAAATTGCCCCTAGCCAAAGATCACTTGTTTCGGGTCCCGGTGACTCCCATTTGTTATGCAAATGGTATTTTGGACCTGTACAAATTTCAAGTCGATATGAGTTGGCTTTCGTTTGACGGAGCGTGTTATGAATGATATAAGATCCATAAATTAACCTTTCCTAATAATTGGAGTTATTGTGACCAATTGGTTTATGAGTTATGATAGACACCAACAACGGGATAGCCATGATAACCTTGTCCATGACTGCAGGGAATACCTACAACAGCTAGGGATAGACACGTGGGTGGTTAATCCATGGTTTGACATTTATCCACCCTCAAAAAACCCAAATCATAATGGACAGAAGATTTATGTGGGTGGATTGCGGATTGGTAAATCTCTACATGCACTTATTCGGGTGGGTGGCATGCGGGTCACTCAGCGACCCTGCACCATATTTTTCACATGAAAAAAGATGATTCTTGATTATACAATGGAATAGTCATCATATTTTCTAATTGCACGACACACTAATCATCGAATTCTAAAAGTTGAGAACCAATATTATTTTTGGACTACTATTATTGGTTACTATATTGTGTAATATTCATTAGATATTGGCATGCTTATTACATTAATTGTATTAAAGTCGCAAAATGCTTCAGTTTTCTCAACACAAATGGTTGATGGAGTAATGAAAAATCTTATGCAAACGGATTCATAGAAGCATAATTGAGAAGTGTCTAAAGTGATATAATCTTACTAATTCATGAGGAAATTATTATAAAGTATTAATCAACTTTCTTAATGATTAAATGAAGAATTGCTTTTGGCGAGTTATATTACTTAGTTCGAACATGATAATTAGGAGTGTACATGGGTAGGGTGGTTCGGGTTTGGTCATTTTAATCACCCAACCGATATACTACGATTTTGAAAATATTAAATCCAATCCAACCCCAAAAAATTAAAACCCTACGGTGTGTGTATAAATGGGTTGGGTCGGGTTGGAGGTACTTTTAATTAAATATCTAGCCTAACACAAAAAAGCAATGTTGTCAGAACCGAACCGGAGCATGACCCGGTAATGCGAACGGCTCGCACTTTAGTGGTCCAACCGACATTAGACCGTTTAAAAACCGTTAGAGAACCGGTACCTAATAAACGTTATCAGTATAAATAGTGGACATTTCTTAATCAGAGCTCATCTCTTTCCTTCGAAATTGTGAAATGGAAATAAGGATTCAATTTGAGAGCCCGACGTTTTTGGTTTTTTTCAATTTTCAAGTTTGTATAATTTTTTTAATTAAATTTAGTGGTTGAATGGCAAAAACTGGACGAGCGGCTCGATCGGCTCGAACGGCTAACCGCCTCGGCCGCTCGCCAACTGCTACATAAAACCGGAGCGGCTTTTAGACTGTTTCGAGCCTATTTTGTGACCGGGTGGCGGTTTTACCGGTCGGGCCGAGCGGCTCGGCTCGGCTTTAATAACACTGCAAAAAAGGCAACTATTATACACTACAAAAATATTATATAATTAATTAAGATTTAAAATAAATAAATGGAGGCAAAAAGTTTCAATATGCATAAATATTGTTTGAATTTTAATGAAATGCAATTTATCAACATATATCTAGTTTTTTCATAAATATTTGTCGAAGTAAACTAAGAGTAGTTATAAGGTAGCATATTCATAATATATTCTTCTTCTAAAATTGTACACACAAGAAAAAAGATTAAATGAATCATAGTTTAAATTAATTCTACGTTTCAATGTTAAGTTGAAGAATATATTAGACTAGAGAAATCACACAAGAGAAAAATATGATAATATAGCTTAATTTTCTCACAATATGTTTATTTACGACACAAATATGTGTTGTATATGAACACTTATAATAATAGTTAAACACGGGTTGGGTCGGGTTCTATGGGTTGCGTTACTCAAAATCCAGACCCAACCCAATAGAGAAGGGTTGTAAAAAAAACGTTCATCCAATCTTAAACTTTAATTTTGACAATAAATACGAATGGGTCAGATCGAATTGGACAAAATGGTCGATTTGCGGGTTCAATTAATCAAACGACAGTCTTTACTCCCAGCCTACTGTTCCCTTTGCCCACACTCTTCCCCCCTTCTTTCGCCTTTTAACCTTAGCCCACACTTCCCCACTTACCTCGTGGATGGTCAGGACTCAGAGCAAGAAAACAAAAATCGTATAATATGTAGAAAAAGGCGCATTATATTAATGCCCTTTTCATGAATGATCGGTTCGATCTAGCTATCTAGATAGCTGAAGGACAGGTCTCAGCTTGCCAACCCTCCAGTGCATTTTGCATAGAAATATCCATACCAAGTCTTTCCCTGTTGCGAGAGAGCCTTCCTTCTTTAGTGTTGGGGTTGGCAATAATGTAATGTGGTAGGGTCAAAAAGAAAGTTGAAAACTATTATATGTACCCATGGGCTATGACCACAATTTGCTCTGTAATTATTTCCCCCTTCATCTATGATACTGTTGTTGTTATAAGCTCTAATCTATGGCGAAAACTGTAGTGCAAGCTTACCGTACTAGGAGCAAACATTCACTATATATTTATTCTGTCACGTCATTTCCAAAGTGGATGGTCTTTTTCACTATGCATGAATTTTTTCCAAATATATACCGTCTGTATTAACGAGAGAAATAAGATACATGTTTTATTTGACTCTACAAAGGGATGGGATTAGGTGCTAACCCTTATAGAGATTAGAACCGTGATAACTAGCAAAAAACGCTACTAAAAATAACGAAATTACTACGGATTATTATAAAATTAATACAACATCTAAGCTAAATCACTACTAATTCAAACTAGTAGTAGTTTTTCCCTTGGTTAGGACGGTGCTAACTATTGTACAATTAGCACCGTAGCCGTTCCCCTCTACAAATATCATATTGACAATTAAGGCTTGTTTGGAGGATGTAATTTCAAGTGAATGATTTAATGAATACATGTAATTGTGAGATTGAGTCGTTTTTCTGGTTTATTTTGCAACAGAATGCATGTATTACCTTTTTCTGACCCCATCCACAATCATTCAAATTGAGTGATTTCAAATCTCTACTCAAAGTTGAGATTGTTGATGAAGAGGATTGTCTGCTAATTTTTTATTTCATCTTTGTCCCTTCTATTTCTATCTTATTTTAGAATTGCCATCATAATTTGCTTCTCTCACCCGTCGTCGTTCCTCTGCCACTGACTGCATCTATTCCTTCCTCTACTCTAGCGAAAGCAACAGGAGTCTGCTCCGGCAAGATTGCGTCTCCTACCTCACCCACACAACTAGGGCTGGAAGTTTGGTACCGGTATTTGGGATATATCGAATACCGTACCGAATTTATCACTATTTGGTATTACCGAATACCGACTTATTTTTTAGGGTTTGGGATTCATTTTGGAGTGCTATTCGGTATTCGGGATTACGAGATTGGGATCGGTATATACCAAAATACCAAAAAAAATACCGAAATTTGAAAATTTAATGAAATATAGCATACAACCTTTGATCATTCCTTACTCTTTCACAACTTATTAGTCTATATCCAACTCAATTTTGACTTTCTAGTTTAAGTCACTCTCGTCTCTCGCTTAATATTTGTTATTTTCATTACACCAAAAGACAAACACTAGTATTAGTCGTCTCTCAACCTCCAATTCGTCAAATTAAAGATTACCAATGGCAAAAATTTGAGATGTCACCTCTCCTCTATTCTCTTTATCCATATCCTAGCTCATG